AGCCGTCTCGGTACTGTGCCCAAGCCTGAAACCAGACTGTGATCGATCCAGAAAATCAGTGTCAACAAGGAATCCCTGAAGCTGAGAGGCGACCACCCACTCCAGCACCTTGCCCAAAAAAGGGAGGTTGGGAATTGGTCTGTAGTTGTTAAACACGGAAGGGTCGAGATAAGTCTTTTTCAATAATGGTTTTACCATCGCCTGCGTCAAGCAGGACAGGAATTTTCCCTGGCCCAACGATGCATTTATTATAGCAACAAAACAGTCCAACAACCCATCTCTGGCCAGTTTAACTAGCCAGGAAGGGCAAGGGTCCAGAGCACAAGTGGTCACTCCCACAGCCCCAAGTATCCCCTCCACGTCATCAGGCAGATCAAGGCGAAAAGAATCCCATAAAATCGGACAGACAGGTGCCTCAGCTACCTCATCTGTCACTACATTTAAACTGGTGTCTAGCTTGAGGCGTATCTGAGCGACTTTGCCTGCAAAATCTTGCACAAAATCGCTGCACCGAGTTGCTGAGTCCTCAGGGATCTCCTCCACCACGGGCGGATGGAGGAGCTCCCCAACAACCCGGAACAACTCCGATGGTCTGTTGGCTACAGACACTATGCAGGAAAGCTTTCTTGGCTGCCCACAAAGATGCGGAGTAAGCCTTAATAGTGGTTTTAGCCCATGCTCAGTCAGATACGCCATGAGATTTAGCCCGTGCTCGGTCAGATACGCCACGAGGTATTGCAATCATGCAGTGTGATTTTAAGGTGATGATGTCCTGCTTCATGGCTGCAGGTATTCAGCTGAGACTTTGGACTTCTGGTAGCACGTTGGCATTTTTCAGCTAGGTAGCCTTTCAAACCCATGATTGACTTCCAGCCATGAGCATAGTTTCTTGTATAGCACAAGCTGACCACAACAAATTGACTATATGTTTTTTTTTAATTTCCCAGAACTTTGCAAAGCAACCGTTGATCCTCAATATGGAGCCTACTATTATGCCAACACAACAACAGGCAACTTGCAGTGTATGTCTAAGTGCTCCAAGAACAGCACATATGCCATCAACTGCTACTATGGAGTTTGTCAAATCTCTAAAAGTGGTCCTCAGTGCAAGTAAGTAGACAGAAGAAGATCCCCAGATACACATCTTTTAGTATAACTGCCACCTAGAAGGCAAATTAATTACTATGTTCAATGTTTACTAATTTGTTACTTGTTCTTTCTAAGATGTGACTGTCGAGACCCAGGTCAGGCGGCAGGACAAAACAGCAGTGCAGGAGTTAATTGGAGGTGTTTAATGTCTCTTTAACAAAACAAAAGGGCTCTTCACTTCAGAGCAATAAACAAAAGGAGCTTGCAGTCAGCAGTAATGTAAACAAACCAGCTTCAGTCAGCGAAAGGAAAGGCAGTCTTTAACACAAACAGGCAGCTTGACTTCAGCATACAACAATAGTCCAAAACAGCAGCAACAAATCAGCAAACAACACTCCGTATGGAGAGCGGTCCAACGAAGATTCTGGGGCAAGGCAGAGGCGTAGTCAGGCAGTCCGAGGGTCAGAACAAGGCACACTCACGAGTCAGGGTCCGGCAGGGATGATCACACGAACAGGAACACGAAGCTGCAACAAGAGCTCACGGCAGGAGTTAACACAAAGCACACAGCATGCGACACTTTGAACTCTGCGATTAGATGGTCCCCAAGCAGCTCCTTAAATTTCATCCGAATCGCTGGAGCCGCTTTCAGCTGGATCTAACTCCTCAGGTGAATTGAAGCCACGCCATTGCCTCCACTCAGCACTTCGGGCTCCATCCTGCAAAGTAACATCATTAAAACCCTGGAATTCATCGCTAGACGTGGGGGCGTTAAGAACATCCATTACTTCCTGAACYTTAGTCCAGTCCAGCTCTTCYTCTTYGCTGTCAMAGTCTGCACAGTCAGCWACGTCTCKCAGAYGTTTAGCAACAGACCCCACATCACTATTAGAGCTGCTGGCTACTCTTTTTACACCTCTGTAGTCATCTAGCTCCATTTCCTCGTGAGTAAAGCCCATAAAATCCTCCTCATCAGTAGTCTCTAGAAACAAGTCCCTGATCCTTTTCAGCTGTTGCTGCTCTTCATCATTCTCTAAGCCACGTTTTCTCCTACAACTGGTAGTAGGTGCATCAGACAGACGCTGAGTCTCAACAGTGACATAGGGCAATTGCAAGAACTGCCCAATATATTGCCTACACAATCGAAATAACATCAATTGCTGTAAACTATATTATACAGTCATTCAAAAAGACAGCAGAAGGGGAGTTCTTGTTTTGGGAACTGATCCTTGATTATATTTTTAAGGTGTGGGTGAATTTGTTTGCATTTGGCGGCTGTGTACACTCCCTGAGCACAGGGTCCAAGGGGGCTGGACTTCTACTGAGTCACTGACATAATATTAACTGGGGTGTGGTTCCATGACTCTTTCTGAATTCCAAAATCTATGGATGGTCAGGCCCCATTATATACAATGTCATAGTAAAATAATATCCCTTACGTAAAACTAGTATATATACCCAGTGTTACCGATTGACGTTGGGACTGTTTCCCACCTACTTTCTTCATTCTCCAACTCTGAGAAGTCCTGCTTCACCATATCTCAGTGACAACACTTTGGCAACAATTCTCAGGCTCTCTTTGTGGCTTTCTTTTGTTCCTCCACTTTCTTGAAACATCTTCCTGTTGTAGCAGCAAATAGGAGAGATAATACCAAGAGCAATCCATTGTTTGGAGGCAGAAAAGTATGTTTATTTTCAGCTGAGACTCTGGTGTGGAATCTCATCCAAAAGCGAACCAGAGTAAGGATAAAGGCGTTGACTTTCCCTTTGTACATCTTCAAATGCAGGCAAAAAAAGAAACATGCTTCTACATACGTTAACATCATCAGTATGTCACCTTAAGCATCATAGAAATATCAAATTATATCTTCCTACATGCAAGGGGCATAAAGAGCAGCTTATAGCAAGTTAGAGATAACTAGGATTCAGCTTTGATCCATCAAGAGGCCTACTTTTGACCTGTCAGGAGGGAGGGAGATTCCTTACTTTTAGAAGTAAGAAGGTATTGTCTGTGCTATGCTGTACCAGTCTCTATATAGGTAAAATGCCCCCTTCTCCTCCAACTTTCAACACAGACTCCTTCAGCATTCTTTCCAGCCTGTCAGCTTGGCTTCCTAATACAGAGAGAACTTGATTTTTTTCTACATTTCAGTTCCTGTAATGTACAAACAATATATGTATAAATATCTATATTTCCAATATCTCCCCATCACTATCTCCTTCCCTCCTTCCCTCCCTCCTTCCTTTGCTTTCCCTCATATATTTCCCCCTCTTCTTCTTTCTTTCTCTTTCCTTTCTCTTACTTTATTTTTTCTCCCTCCCTTCTTCCTTCCCTTCTTCTCTTCCTGAAAAATGTTGTTCATTTAGTTCAAACCCCTCAATCATTTTAAATTGGGTAATTGGATAATGAAGGGTGTGTGTGCCAAGTCATGTAGGAGCCTTTGTGGTACAAGTGCATAAACAAACAAACAAACAAACAAACAGATAAAGCAAACCAATTTACATAAGTACAAATGCCCTTCACGTTCCTTCCCCCACTGTGTCTGTAGCTGATGATTGTATTAGAGTCCATATGCACACAAAGCATGGATGTTATTAATTTGCCAAGGTTCTTTCTCTTTGCTTCTCTCATCCTCAGGAACATCCTATCTTCACCTCTCATTTCCTGTCAGGAGTGCTAAGCAACTGGGGAAAAACAGATATATAAGCAAAAGTCACCTGGCATGACTCTTTTTACCACACTAAATATTTAGTTGTAGATTGCAAATCAAAGATATCAGTGATTTCCTGCATTATACTGAAATGGCAGGGAGAAGGTTTCAGGAAAAGAGACAAAGGAAGTTCCGGAGATCTAAAAAAAGCATGAATTTATTTCCAGCTAGGGTCCTGGAGTGGACTATGTCCAAAAGCACTAGAGCAATGAAATAGGTGCAGACTATGGCTTTTATAGCCTTCCAATCACAGTCAAACAAAGAACATGCGTCTACATACGTTGACCTCATTCACTGCATCATCTTAGCATCAAATTATATCTTCCAACATACAAAAAACATGTCCCTGTGTATTTCTTTCTAGCAGCATCTTACATTCATCAATCAAGGGGCCCACTTTGACCTGTCATGAGGGAGAGGCATTGGCTCCTTCCCTAAAGGAAGGCACTGGGCTTTTTGTACCAGTCTCTGTGGCTTATCTCTCTCTCCTGGAATGTATAGATAACATGCCCCCTCTTCAGCCCCTCTCTTTCTCTGCCTGGACACAGCTTGCTTGTCCGTTAGCATTCTTTTTATACAGAGAGAGCCTGATTTTTCTATACATTTAAAGTACATACAATTTAAACATAAATCAATATCTATTTTTCCAATATTTCCTCATCAATACATGTCAGGATTCAGAGAATATGGGAGTCTAATCTACCTTTAACTCTCTCCCAATAGCTGCAATGATCTGGATGCATTTTGGTACACAAGCAATGACTGTCGGACACGAATTGAGAAAAAAGAGTTTGGTTTTGCCTTTGCACTGACTGCCATTCTGCTGATCAGCATCATCCTGGCCATCTTCCTCTTCAGGTACAAACGGAGGAAGTCTGCATCTACTAGGTAAGAAGTGTAAGCTGCTCAAGACGGAAGGTAGCCATTGATGGCCTCAATTTGATTTTTTTCTGAACAAATGAGTGTGTGTTGATCAGAGGTTTCTGAGTGGGATTGTGTGTTTTGGTGTGGAGGAGGGCTGCAACAGTTCTGAAGTTTGTCATAAATTACTAGCAGACTACAGTTATTTCATAATCACATGATAGGTCTTCTGAGGTTAGGAATGAAATCCTCAGGAGAACAGTATCCTCTTCACAGAAAATACTCCTTTCTTTGCCTTTTGGTTCTCATAATGGCATATCCTTTTGTTTTCACAGTGAGTCTGATGAAGATGCAATCTGGTGCAAAGAGGACGAGGAGGAGACATGGGTCCCCCCTGTAGGTATAAGCATCATAAATGAAGCAGCCTTGGATGGTAAGGAATAGTTATAAATAACATGGCATGAGGAGGGTGTGTTTGTGGTATGACAGAAGGTTTTTACCAACTATAGATCTGGGGTTGTTTTTTGGAGTTTGAGCCTGAAAGTTCTTAGCAGTTCTAATTTGCAGAATTTGGATTTTATTTTAAAGAAATATAGTAAACTCTTAGCTAACCAACCCCCCTGGGAATTGGGCGATACCAGATACATGTAGTTTCTGGTTGCTTGAAAGTTACTGTTAAAAATAGGCCTAACTAATACTATGTCCCACACTGTACCATACACTCTGTATTGACTTGATATTCATATTGAAATACAGTAATTGAAAGCAAATAAAGACAATTTCAATTTAAAGTAATACTGTGAAGTCTTGGCACTGCCTTCTCTTCTCCTCTGCTTTAGTCTCCCCTGTTTATAGGCCTTCCCAATAGTGTAGATAACTTCCTTTGTATTAGTTTCTAGAGCTTAAAATTCCCCACAGACCAGTCTTAGTTGGTCTATTCCATTTTCCTGTTTAGAGCTTTTGCTGACTCCTCCTTTTTGTACAGTCACTAGCGGCTTGGGGCATTGTCTGGTAGCCCTAGGCCAAGCAATCCAAAGAGTCATTCTTAGCACCTGCTGCATTCAGCAGTATTTTTATACCAGCAGTCCAAAGGACAACAGAAGCTTTTGGCCAGCCTAAACTTCACAAGGAAGAAGACTAAGACAGTTCATAACCATCGCTTTGCACCAGAGGCAAGAGAAATTTTTCAAAGATTCCAGAAAGATGACTGCAACCAGAAAAATCTCCTTTTGGAATGTATTGTTTTAAGTTATCTTATTATAGTCGCAGGTGGAGCTCACCCTTTTTTCATCTTGTTTCAGTAAACTCATTTGATTATCTTTTCACCTTGCCTAAAGTGCCTCTGTCTGCTAAGGGTCTTAATCTTAACAGGAGGTATACAGATAGCCCCCAAGTAAAGCCAGACAATATAGTTTCTCCAAAGACTCAGGTGTGCCATCACATAATACAGTTTTATTCTATTAGTAGCCATCCCCTACCACACGTTGCTGTGTATATGTGTTTTGTGTGTATATATTTGTGTATATATATGTGGTTTTGCACATGTGTTGTAATGTATTTTTTGTTGTTTTTTTGTTTTTTTTAGTCTCTTCTGCTATGTTTTTCAGTGTTTTTATGAGTAATGGCCACTCGTTGGCTTGATCGGTGTATTGTGTCCAAATTTGGTGTCAATTTGGACACAATTTGAGTTATGTTAATCCCACAAACGAACATTACATTTTTGTTTATATAGATATCTGACCTACTTGGGAACGGCAATTCCCTTCCTTGGGCACCTGTGCCCCATTCTATAGTGTGCTGGTCAAAGACTGTAATAAATCATTGATTGATATATAGATAAAAACAGCTTTATGAATGTAGTATTGTTTCTTAGCTTTTTTGCCAGATGCTTGAGAGTTTCAATTGCTTGTGTTCTCTTTTACTGAAAGTCTACTGTAATTTAAACCATACCTGTACCTCACCTAAGAACCATAACCATATTCCCTAGAGATGTGTCAAAACATTTGTGTCTATTGCTTAGCAAGACTGCTCTCAACGTATTTACAATTTTGCTAGCTTTCTGTTCTATAGAGTTCTTAAATGGGTCCATCAAGAAAAAATGACCTGTTAGTCTCAGATAGAACAGACCTATTGAATCAGTGAGATGTATATGTGTTAAATCATCATTCAGTAGGATTCAGACTGATGATTGCTGGAGTGCAGGGGATTTTTGTGTTTTCTTCCTTATCACAATCACTCACATCTTTTGTTGACACACTGTTCTTCAAGCTCAAAGGTGGCTCAGCATTCTTCAGCTGTGTAATGGGAGAAAGAAATTTCAGTAGGGCACTACTACAGAAGAACTTGCAGAATCCCAAAGTAGGTTGAGGTCTGGGCATTGCTCAGTGGTTAATTTTATCTATTTTCTTCTCAGGAAACCAAGAGATAAGCAAGGTTTTCCAACCTTCACTTGAAAAAGTTGATACCTCATTAAAGGTATGTATGGCTTGTACGGTAGGTTTTGGGTTATTGTTGATCTTGTAATCTGCATGGGGTAGGGATGACACTGGGTGGTGACCAGCAAGGGAATATACTGCAGTTGACTTTCACAATGAGCTTTCCAGATCATCAGTCTGAAGTTTTAGGAGAGGAGTCCATTGATACAATTTGAACTTTGTATACTTTTGGTACTTAAAGGGAGTGATTATGTTGTAGAATCTAAATCCAAAAGAAAAAGGAGAAAGGAAATGGAAGGAGAGAAGATGGCAGCATCTTTGAGACTAACTGGTTTTGCACTTTTGTGGATATAAACCCACTTCTTTGATATATCTTCCACTGCTTTGTATTGCATTCGAAGAACTGAGTTCATATTAGAGGTGTGCAATTTGGTTAAACCCCGTGCCATTTTTGGTATCTGAATTTTAGTGCCCCCACCCCCACCAATCCATTTTCTGGGAGCATCCCGAATTCAGGCAGGCGAAAAAAACCATTGTTCAATCCAGTAGACGAAAAATCCAATTTTCACTCCAGGAAAATCCTGCCCATTGTCGGCAAAGGCGGAAACTTCTGAGACTCCTCTTTTCATCCTTTTTAGGCCATCAGTCTTAAGAAACCACCTTTTCTGGGATCATTTCCCCTAATATCCTTCAACTAGTACTGGGTTAAGATATCAGTCTTAAGGAATCACTTTTTTCTGGGGTCCTTTCCTCTAATATCCTTCATCTAGTCCTGGGTTAAGGGATCTGACTTAAGAAACCATTTTTCTGGGATCATTTCCTTTAATATCCTTCATCTAGACTAATTTTTCTCAACCTTCCTACTGCCACAACCCCTTAATACAGTTAGTTACTCAATTGTGATGACCCCCAACCATAAAATTATTTTTGTTGCTACTTCATAATTGTAATTTGGCTACTGTTGTGGATCGTAATGTAAATATCGGATGTGCAGGATGTATTCAAATTTGGCACAAATACTTGATACGCCCAAATTTGAATACTGGTGTGGTTGGCAGGGAAGAAAGATATTAAACTAAGAAAAATAAATGAAATCACCAAAGGAAAAGATTGGAATTGAGTCCAAAAGCAAGCAAAGTCATCCTAAGAGCAGCAGCTTTCTTCTCCTGATTGGCTCAAGCAGGCAGCAGGGCTCATAGCCTCACAGGGAACCCCATGCAGGCATGCAGCTACCTCTCCATGCTCCACATGTATCTGAAAGAGACAGAAAGCACCCGTTTTGGGCAGCCACAAGGTCTGTTGCAGGCAGAGAGAAAAAAATCTGTCGACCATAAAGCTGTGCCTTTATGGCTGGCCAAAAGAGCCAAAACAGCCGGAGACTGTTTTGAAAAAGGGATCCATGTAAAGCCTTAGTTCATATCTATTCACAAAAGCTCGTGCAAAAATTAAAACCATTTAATCGGAAAGGAATTGCTACATTTATTTTTTCCTCTCCCTTCTTTCCTTATTTTATGTTTTAAGAGACCTGGCTACTTTTTTGATAAATTCAAAATAGCTAATTCATTATTTTACAAGCTGCATTGAAGTTAAGCAACTGACTCTAAAAGAATACACCAAGACAACTAATATGGCTTCATAAAAGTTTGCCCAACTCTGAGGATAAACTCATTTCCCTCTTCTTGTCAAATTAATTATCACTTTCTGTGGCACTCAAAGCATCTCATCTTCCTCCTTGCAGCTGCAGTTCCCGAAACTAGGAACTCCATCAACTAAGACCCCGTTCTAGACCCTTCTTTTGGTTGGCTGAAATAGACATTGGATTCTGATGTACTCTACCAAGCAATAGTCTGGCTCAAAGAATGGTGGTGATGATAGGATTCATCTCAACTACTTTATTTTGATTTCTCTGGGACATGTTTGCTAGACAAAACCAATCACTAGTCTGTTAACAAGAAATTGAAATAATAAACATCTATGGAAATTTATATAAACACAATCCATGTTTCCTCTGCTTTTTCATCAATGTTCTGTCCCCTTGCAATGCATTAGAAACTTTTATCAAATTTCTTGTTCTTCCTAGCACAAATGGCATATGTCTTCCAGCTATTATTTTCGTTCTTTCTTCTGATGTTCTACTTTGTTTATTTGAAAGGTTAATCCAAATTATCAACATTTAAATTAATCAACAATCTACATGAAACTCATCAACTAATAATGCATGTGGTTTTTTAAAAAGTTTGAAACAAGCAAGTATCTGATGCCTCATTAGTCAATGTACAGATGAATCACCTTGATTTTGTCACAGTCCCAAATGATGCTCTTATTTGTGCATTGTTGTTAATAAACTCAATAAAAGGAAACTATTTCTCAGCAAACAATACTTGTCTCCTTTATTCTTTTTGCAACAGAGCAGCACTTAGGGAGGCAAATGCCCAAGCCCCCAAAAAGGGAGAGGATCCTGAGTGGAGTCGTAGGGCCCTTCAACACAGCCATATAACTCCACACTGCCATATAATCCAGTTCAATGTGGATTGTATACAGCTGTGTGGAAGGGACCTGAGAGCACAATGGGAGTAATGTGGAAGGTCAAAGTGGATGGAGAAGAGGGAGTAATGGAACAGGCCTTGATAAAGGAAAACTCCTAGAACGTCTGGGGAAAAGGTGGGAGAAGGAAGACTGGAAGGACAGATGGGAGGAGTTGTTAAACAAGACTGTTTGGGAAGAAGTGCACTGAAACTTCTTCGACCTTGGAAGCTGAGGTCTTGTGGTGGAGACAGAGGAATAACAGTTGCAATGTAAGTAACGGTTGGCCTAAACCAGTGGTTCCCAACCTGTGGTCCTTGAACCACCAGTGGTCCATGGCCTCAACATAACAACTACACTGCTGCCCCGAAACCATGCAGCAATGAGAACAACTGGTCTCGCAAAACCCTCTTACAGTGCCGAGGTAACAGGGATGTCAGGAGGGGATTGACTGACTACCCACAAAAGATTGCTACTACCACATCAGCTCTGTTACAGTAAGTTGTAACAGGATCAAGTGTGTGTTAAAGAAAAAACCTTATGATGCTAATTATTATGTGCAGCTGGTAATGTAGGTCAGCCAGCATGTTTGGTCCACACCCGATGGGGTATAATTGAATGGATTTTAGAATACAGTTTGGAGAAGCAATATGCTGTAATGCTGTAATGCTGCTATGCTGAACAGCGATGCTCTTTGCTATGGTGGAATAACTATTTACTCAAGGTTTATAGTTTGCTCTCTCATGAAGATGAAAAAGCCTTATTCTGTGTTACTTACAAGGACTATGTAAGTTTGTTGCACTGTTTGATTTTGTATGCAACACTGCAAGTTTATGCCTCTGCTGATAAGAGCAAAGTTTTTCTGTTCCTTTTTCCTCTTTCCTATGTGTCTTTTGCATGGGGCTTGGCTAAAACACGCTCTGCGCAACAAGCTCTAGGTTATTAAATATGGTTTTCTGTGGGTGAGCAGCTGGCGACTATTGGATGGCATATGTTCTGTATCCAAAACTAGAGCTGATGTAGTCTATCCAATGCAATTTTCTGAATCAGCACCTCAAATAACCAAACCGAATCTAAAGTTGACCATAAACCATAACCCTTTTGGTACTAATTTTGGAGAATGGTCCCTGCTCAATATGGTCCCTGGTCAAAAAAAAGTTAGGAACCACCGGCCTAAACAGAAGACTTTGGATAAGAAGTTAGTGAGACTTGGTCTGAATACTAGTTCCATCTAGTGGCTTCTTGAAATATCATTTCATGGTGCTGTAAAGATCTTCTTACCTGCTCTTCAAGGATACCATCCATCCACCTTGCCCTTGGTTGGCCCCTCTTCCTTTTTCCTTCCATTTTCCCCAGCATCATTGTCTTCTCTAAGCTTTCCTGTCTTCTCATGATGTTCTCATGCTGTCCATAGATATCCCCAGTATCCATGTGTCCTACACTTGCTTCCACAAGTTGTATAATAAAAGTTCTGATTTTTTCCAGTTCTTTTTGGTTGTTTTGTTCTCTGCAAGATATATGGAAAGTGACAGGAAACCAGGACAAAATCTTATTATTTATCTATAATCTTGGAAATTATATTAATTATCAGAGACCTCATTAAGTATAATACAGACTGCCAAGATAACCCTGTAATGACGTATGACCACAAATATATTATTTGTTTTTTTATAAGCTCAGCATAGGGTTCATCTGCACTGCAGAGTTAATGCAGTTTGAAACCACATCAACTCCCATGGCTCCATGCTTTGGAATCCCGGGAGTTTTAGAAAGTCTTTTGCCTTCTCTGCCCCAAAGTTCCGAAGCCTCAACGAACTACAACTTTGGCCCCTTCTACACTGCCATATACTCCAGCAGAAAATCCCACAAGATCTGCTTTGAACTGGGATATCTGAGTCTACACGGCCATATATTCCAGTTCAAAGTGGAGTTTATTCAGATACTAGCCGTCCCCTGTCATGCGTTTCTGTGGCCCAGTCTGGTATCTGGAAAATAAAGTAATGAGAAAGTGTTGGTTTCTAATATATGCAATTTATAGATGCTTGTGGGTAAACAGCACTTCTTGCTGTTTCTTTGTCAGTGTTGATGTAGATTGTCTGGTTTGCCTACTCTGGAACATGCAGATGCCCCAAAGGCTGTCATTTCCTCAGCCTTTGTCAAGCTTCGTCCCGCCTCCTAGCTGCCGATTGGTCCATCTTCAGAGGTGCTAGGAAGGCACTGATTGGCCTCCCAGAGGCAGCGGAGCCCGCTGATTGGTCCAGAGGCGAGGCATGCTGCCAAGCCTCCTCCCAGCTGTTCCGCGGCCAGCCAATCAGCACGAAGCCGGCTGACAGAGGGCGGGCGGGAGTTTTGAAACTGTTTCCCTTTGTCTGTGTACTATAAAAATGCTTGGAAATTCTGTAAAATTATGCTTGCAGCGGAATGATTCCTGCAATGCATCTGATCTCAGCTGAATCACAAATAAACCTCAGTTGCTGAAAAACTTCTTCCACTTTGATGAGGCATTATTATTTGTAATATTTTTTTACTCTTTGGATTGGCTCTCGCTGGCCTCACCAAAGGTCCAGGGCCCTTTTGAGCGGTCCTCAGGGATCTCCTCCGCCGGGAGACCCTACTAAAAACAGCTCGATATCATTTGGCTTTACCACGAAGGGACTCCTGCTTGAGGTCCAGACTAAATTATAGCCTAAATTTTCAAGCAGGCACTTTGGTCCAGGAGCTTGGGCCAGGTTGCTGAGAGGAACAGCTTGGGAAAAGAGGCGCCTCTCTTGATTTGGACTCTTCTTCTTTGACAAAACTACAAATTCTCCCACAGCCAATTTCCTCCCAGTCTCTGACCTGGGTTCCTGGTACAAAAGAGTGCCAGGGAAGCCTTTGCCAAAGGACTTCCAGGAAGAGGGGCAACCGACGTAAGGGGGGAAGACGTCTGAAAAGGTAAGCAGAAAGCAACCGTGGGTCACCCCAGGATTTTGCAGGTGGGAGGGGTTCTAGATTTCCTGGACCGGCCTCGGAGTAAGCCCACTGGGGAGGGATTTTCTGGGACTCGGTAACAAATTCCTGACCGGAGGTGACGGACACCTAGGCGTTTGAGGTCCAGACCTTGCAATTCAGCTCGCTGATAGGGGCTACGTGGGAAAGGGAGTCCTCCCCTTTTGACTGCCTAGCTGTTCAGGTGCTGAGACCCTACTAAAAACAGCTCGATATCACAACCTAGAATTGTCCTTCTTTAGGGGTCCCTTTCAAATCTATGATACTATATCTGTGTGTGAATCATATATATCTGTCTATATCTATGGCTGGATGGCTCTTTGTCAGGAGGGCTTTGATTATGTTTTCTTGCCCTGGTGAAGGGAGGTGGACTGGATGGCCTTAAGTATTTTCTGTTGGTCATGGGGGTTCTGTGTGGGAAGTTTGCCCCAATTCTGTCGTTGGTGGGGTGCAGAATGCTCTTTGATTGTATGCAGGTGAACTATAAATCCCAGTAATTACAACTCCCAAATGTCAAGGTCTATTTCCCCCAAACTCCATCTGAGTTCACATTTGGGCATATTGAGTATTCTTGTAGAGTTTGCTCCAGATCCATCATTGTTTGAGTCCACAGTGATCTTTGGATGTAGGTGAACTACAACTCCAAAACCAAAGAACACTGCTCACCAAACCCTTCCTGTATTTTCTGTTGGTCAAGGGAGTTCTGTGTGCCAAGTTTGGTTCAATTCCATCGTTGGTAGGGTTCAGAATGTTCTTTGATTGTAGGTGAACTATAAATCCCAGCAACTACAACTCCCAAATGACAAGATCAATTTTTTTGAGTGAAGGACATACATTGGGTTGTTAGATGTCTTGTGTCCAAATTTGGTGTCAATTCGTCCAGTGGTTTTTGAGTTATGTTAATCCCACAAACAAACATTACATATTTATTTAGAACTAGCCATTCCCTGCCACATGTTGCGGAGGCCCACTCTGTGTATATGTGTTTTGTGTGTATATATATCTGTATATGTGGTTTTGCTCCTGAGGAATCTGTACAAGGACCAAGTAGCAACAGTAAGAACTGACCACGGAACAACAGACTGGTTCAAGATTGGGAAAGGCGTACGGCAAGGCTGCATACTCTCACCCAACCTTTTTAACTTGTATGCAGAACACATCATGCGATGTGCGGGGCTTGATGAATGCAAAGCTGGGGTGAAAATTGCTGGAAGAAACATTAACAACCTCAGATATGCAGATGACACCACTCTGATGGCCGAAAGCGAGGATGAGCTGAGGAACCTTCTAATCAAGGTGGAAGAAGAAAGCGCAAAAGCTGGGCTGCAGCTAAACATAAAAAAAACCAAGATTATGGCAACAAGAATGATTGACAACTGGGAAACAGAGGGAGAAAATGTGGAGGTTGTGACAGACTTTGTATTTCTAGGTGCAAAGATTACTGCAGATGCAGACTGTGGCCAGGAAATCAGAAGATGCTTACTTCTTGGGAGGAGAGCAATGTCCAATCTCGATAAAATAGTAAAGAGTAGAGACATCAGACTGGCAACAAAGATCCGCATAGTCAAAGCCATGGTATTCCCTGTAGTAACCTACGGATGTGAGAGCTGGACCTTAGGGAAGGCTGAGCGAAGGAAGATAGATGCTTTTGAGCTGTGGTGTTGGAGGAAAGTTCTGAGAGTGCCTTGGACTGCGAGAAGACCCAGCCAGTCCATCCTCCAGGAAATAAAGCCCGACTGCTCATTGGAGGGAAGGATACTAGAGACAAAGTTGAAGTACTTTGGCCACATCATGAGGAGACAGCAAAGCCTAGAGAAGACAATTAGGCTGGGGAAAGTGGAAGGTAAAAGGAAGAGGGGCCGACCAAGGGCAAGATGGATGGATGGCATCCTTGAAGTGACTGGACTGACCTTGAAGGAGCTGGGGGTGGTGATGGCCGACAGGGAACTCTGGCGTGGGCTGGTCCATGAGGTCAAGAAGAGTCGGAGACGACTGAACGAATGAACAACAACAACATTCCCTGCCACACGTTGCGGAGGCCCACTCTGTGTATATGTGTTTTGTGTGTATATATATCTGTTTATGTGGTTTTGCACGTGCATTGTAATGCATTTAATATTTTATTTGCTTTTTAAAGTCTCTTCTACTGTGTTTTTCGGTGTTTTTATGAGTGATGGTCACTCGTTGGCCTGATACGTGTATTGTGTCCAAATTTGGTGTCAATTCATCTAGTAGGTTTTGAGTTATGTTAGGGTGGCGCAGTGGGTTAAAGCACTGAGCTGCTGAGCTTGTTGATCAAAAGGTCGCAGGTTCGATTCCGGGGAGCGGCGTGAGCTTCCGCTGTCAGCCCTAGCTTCTGCCAACCTAGCAGTTCGAAAACATGCAAATGTGAGTAGATCACTAGGTACCGCTCCGGCGGGAAGGTAACGGCGCTCCATGCAGTCATGCCGGCCACATGACCTTGGAGGTGTCTACGGACAACGCTGGCTCTTCGGCTTAGAAATGGAGATGAGCACCACACCCCAGAGTCAGGCATGACTGGACTTAATGTCAGGGGACTACCCTTACCTTTTACCAGGGAGGATTAACAAATATTATATATTATTTATTTATATAGACGAGGAAGGAAGGAAGGAAGGAAGGAAGGAAGGAAGGAAGGAAGGAAGGAAGGAAGGAAGGAAGGAAGGAAGGAAGGAAGGAAGGAAGGAAGGAAGATAGATGTAGAAGGGGAGCAAGAGGTGGAACACTACACCCGGAAGCAAGAGGAGGACGCGCCTGTCTTACTTTTCTTAGCTCTAGAGGACACTGGAGGAGGCGGGGCTTTGCTCGGAACTTTCCCTGAGGGAAGGGGAAACCTTTCTATGACGGACCAGAAGTTGGGGCTGGGAGGCGGAAGTTCCGTTTGGACTCGGAGGCGATGATGAGCTTCGAGTGGCCCTGGCAGTACAGTTTCCCGCCTTTCTTCACGTGAGTCTCGGGGTGTCCTCAGGCCCTTCCTTGCGAGGCCAGGGCCCGGCGCGTTCCCCAAAAGCGGCCCCCCAAAAGCGGGCTGCGGCAGGCAGGACCGAGGAACTTTCCTAGTCCAGAGAAGAGCCTCCCCTCCCCGGCTCCCTGAGGCCTCTCCTTCCCCTTCCTTTCCCTCAAGGCCTCTCCCCATCTCCTTCTCTTTCCCTACCTCATTGGCCTCCTTGTTTACTGTCAGGCCACAAAAAGAACATGGCTGTAGCCAGGAAGTGGGTTCGTCCCAGAAAGAGGCTGGTGGCTCTCTCGGCCTTATTGATCCATCCCCTCCTTCCTTCTCTTCTTGCCACTTTCAGGCAGGAGGCCGCAGAGACTCTCCCTTCTCTGAAGTGGGAGAAAAGGCCTCCTGCCCCCATGAAGGCAGGCGAGCCTGAGTTAGAATCACTCTGGACCCTTCCAGACAGGCCCAATATCCCAGGATCTGATCCCAGGTTTTCTGATTTGAACTGGATTATATTTATTTATTTATTTATTGAGAAGTTTTCTATACCGGCCTTCTCACCTCAGCGAGGGACTCAGGTCGGTTTACAGCATATATGAAAGTACAATAATATATAAGTACAACAAAGTGCAACGTCATTACATATTAAAATAGTACAATAAAGTACAATAAAAACATCATCATCACAATTACCTAAGCCAAGTCATCAATCCAGTCATAGTCATAATCATAGTCGCAGTTCATCATCCTCCTTTCTTGTGGAAGGAGGTTATAGATTCAGTCCTCGAATGCCATATTCCAGAGCCAGGTCTTTAGTAGTTTCCTGAACGTCAGGAGGGAGGGAGCAGATCTAATCTCTAGTGGGAGGGAGTTCCAAAGCTGGGGAGCCACCACCGAGAAGGCCCTGTCTCTCGTCCCCACCAACCGTGATTGTGAGGGTGGTGGAATCGAGAGCAGCCCCCCCCCCCGGAAGATCTTAAAGACCTTGATGGTTCATAGGGGAGAATCCGTTCGGACAGGTAAACAGGGCCAGAGTCGTTTAGGGCTTTGTAGGTCAAAACCAGCACTTTGAATTGTGCTCGGTATATATATTGTTGTTGAATTGTGGTAGGCTGTTACTCAAGCTACTTATAAGAAAATACGACTGTACTAAAAGTTTGCACCATACTGTTTGTTGTCGCTGTGAGGTTAACAGTGCAGCATGTTTATATACTGTTGTTGAATTATATCATTGTTTATGTTATACAAGTGGTATTTTTGTTATATACATTTCACTCAGGAACCCATCTATATTATTGTGGATAATCTAGAATAAACAGAAAACCTGAAATCAGATCCTGGTATATAGGGCCTGTCTGGAAAGGGCCTCAGATAACCCAGTTCAAAGCAGATATTGTGGGATTTTCTGCCTTTATATTCTGGGATATAGGGCTGTGTGGAAGGACCCTGAGGCCCCTTCCACACAGCTGAATAAAATCCCACATTATCTGCTTTGAAGTGGAATATATGGCAATGTGGACTTAGATATCCCAGTTCAAAGGAGACGTTGTGGGATTTTCTGCCTTTATATTCTGGGATATAGGGCTGTGTGGAAGGACCCTGAGGCCCCTTCCACACAGCTGAATAAAATCCCACATTATCTGCTTTGAACTGGAATATATGGCAGTGTGGACTTAGAATATCCCAGTTCAAAGCAGATATTGTGGGATTTTTCTTCCTTGATACTATAGGTTAAAGTGCTGTGTGGAAGGGCCTTGCTATAATCAAAAAATCCAGGATCAGATCCTGGGATATAGGACCTGTCTGGAAGAGCCCTAGATTATATAATGGGGTAGACTCATATAATCCATTTCAAAGCAGATGCAGAAACAGAATGATATGATGGAGCCTGCCTACCTGCTCTCTAATTAGAACAGCATTAATAACTCTGTATGTGCTGTTGCATGCTGGGCCTGTGCATAAGACTGTAGACAGGACATAAATTCTGTGTGCCCAACGGGACGCCGGGGCTGCCTCAGATTAAAGGCTCTTGGATTTCCTTAAAACAGAGTCTTTAGATTGCTTAAAGGTTCAACAAAGTTCTTTATTAATGAAAACAAACCGGTACTTTAAAGCTTTCTTAACAGTCTATTGGCTCTCTCTCAATCTTGTCCACAGGGAACAGGCACTATCTTCATAAACTGTATTTTAGCTAATAGGGAAATCCTTAACTTCTAATCTGGGCAGTCTGTCTTTGCCTCTGTTGGTGTGGAACCCCTGCACCCGGTACCAACTGCTTCTGGCTTCTGCGAGTGACCCTTACCAGGCAGAGCTTTGTAGACTTCCAGGGAAAAAGGAGTTCAGGTTTCAGTGATGACTGACTGAAGGCTGTATATCTTCCGGCCAAGCTGTGCGGCTGTATCTCCCTGGCCAAGCCGTAGAAGACGAAGCTTTCTACAGGAGCTCTTGGTATTATGTCCTGCATGAAAGGCTTCTCTGTGTGGACTGAACTCAAAATGGCTCCTATTCCCTCTAAAACCCAAAAAGAGGGCGGGACCAGGGAACCCAACTATAATTGACAGGTGGCTTGCCCTATGATTGCAGCCAAAAGAAGCCATCTATCTACAGAGTCCCTGAAACTTAGGACTATAACAAACATTCAATGCAAAACAAACAAAATCGAAGCTCCTGGTGCAGTTGTACCTGCACACTGTAGATGTCACCAAAAGTACACAGAGAGCAGTATTGGGAGTGCAGTCAAGTACAGGTAGTCACCAAATTACAAACAAGGTAGGTTCTGTAGGTTTGTTTTTGAGCTGGATTTGTAGGCAAGTCAGAAGAGGTACATTTTTAAAGTGAAACTCTAGCCATATATATATAGAGCAAGAGAGAGTCTCCGAGTTATATTACAAATATCTGATTTACAAACAACTCATGGTTAAGAATGGGGATGAGACAATAGGAAGTCAGAGAACACTACCCCTCAGAAGGGATCCAATATCTGAATTCTGATTATCTGCTTTGAATTGGAGTACAGCGTGAAGCAGCATAACTTCGTTTTTTCAAAACTTAATAAAACCCATTGTATGAATCAGAATTTTTTATTTTTTATTTTATAATGTAGTTGCATACCTAAAGTTTTGTTTTACGTAGTTTTGAAGATCAAATTAGGTAGGTGACGTCCCCCATTCTCCATGCACTGAGTAAACCTATTTCTGGCGTTTGTCATGACTCTTGCCAGCATAGCAGGCATTATGTTGGGAATTTCTTCCTAGATGTTGGTCTTCAAATCTTGTAGGGTCCTTGGACGGTTCACATAGACACGGGATTTCAAAAAACCCCATAGAAAAAAATCACAAGGGGCCAAATCTGGAGAGCAGGCCGGCCACTCCAAATCTGCTTGAAAAGTAGGCAAAAGCACACTCCTCACTGTTCCAATGATGGCGACTGAACTTTGTCAGGACAAAACTTTATACTCCCGCCTCTCGAACGAGACCACTAGCGTTCTGCTATGTCTTCAACCGACTGAATGGCGCACATTTTAAAAAAGGAAGGTATGCTGCCCTACTCTGTATATGTGTATATGCCACCATATAATCCAGTTCAAAGCGAATAATCAGAAACTGGATTATATGGCAGTGTAGATGCAGCCCCAGAGATGTTTATTGGCTTCTTGATGTGATAGGAAAAGAGTTTGCCACCCCATTTTCTATACACTTGGCATCTACCCCTGTCTCTCCATACCTCCTGCCTCACAAGAGGGCCCTGTAGTTTCTGGCCTGCCTCCTTGCCCTGAGTTTAAAGGACAACTGGCTAATTCGTGCATCTATTACTTAAGGGCTTCTTAAACATCCCAACTCACAAACCCTTTCTGCTTGAAAAATGTTTAAGTGACCCCAGGTGTATAGGAATATAAAATAAATATAAAATTAAGTATTTACTGAGCTAAGATTTGGGGTTGGGACCCACAGTTTAAGAAGCAGTGTATTAGTCATTTACAGAGAGTCAGTGACACAAGGTGCGGTAAGTGGGAGTAGTGTTGGGTGGAGGAAAAGCAGATGGGAGGTGTGCCAGGCATGTATGTCCTGAGTTGAAAGCAAGAGAGGGTGAGAAAGAAGTCAGGGATTCTGCCAGTGATAGAGGAGAGAAGCATTGCAGCAGCAACAGAAGCCTAGGAGAAAAATAGTTTCACACTCTATTACCTGAGGCAGCAATTGCCTCACTGTCTAATAGGGTTCCTCTGGGGTGAACGCCCTTCTCTCTTCTCAGGCAGCTGCACATTCTGTAGCTGCTCAGAATATTCTGAATACTGGTTGCTTCCCATGCATAGTATCCACAATAGAAAGTCACTCTGGTGGTGCCTGGTTTGACTGAAGGCAGATCCCACCAATAGAACTGAACTTAGATATTGCAACAGAATTGTCATTGTATTTGAAACAGGATGTTTCTTTAGAGATGTTCACTTTTATATTTGCCATTAAGTATGTAAGACAAGACAAGATCCACATTCTTTGTGTGTGTGATCCATCCTTGAAATCATTTCAAAAGCAATTTGCATGGAAAAGGTGGTTTGTGACCACCTTGTCCGCAACTGCTGTTAATAGCATGCTTTCAGTGTTCAAAAGCTGCATTTTGCTCTCCTTGTTCTAAACGACTGCTTGGGGTCACAAAAAATGTGTCAAAAGTAAAACGTTTCTGAACATCACCTTGACATTTACAAGAATCTGTTAGAAACAACATTCAGAGTTTATAGTGGACTCTGCAGAAAATGCTTCAACTGTACTAAAAAAAGGGGAAAAATTAGTCTGTTCTGCAAGCCTTGCAAATACTGATTTATTTTCAGTGAATACTTGATCTTTATACCTATTTTATTTACCTAGGGTCATGTCAACATTTCTCCTGCAGACAGGGGTCGCAAGTGGAAAATGTTTAAGAAGCCCTGCTCTGGTTTACATAGGGAACAATTATATACAAAAAAGACTTAAGGATTTTGATGTGTTTTGTTTGGAGATGATTGAATAATCCTTCTAGAGCATATGAAAGGTTAATGTTGAAGATATTGAGAAAAAAAATATTTCTAGTTGCTTTGAAAGAAATGTACTAACAAAAACAATCAGCTGAAATACCTAATACTTTAGTTTAGGAAGCTGGTAGAAGTGTAATTCTGGTTTAGAACCTGAAAAGATCAATTTGAACAGTCTGCCAAACTATATTTGTTTCTTCAACTATCTGTAGGTTACAGCCCAATGTGGACACAAGGCAGAAACAGCTGATCGCTTGGTGTTCCTTAGCCCTGTCTTATTGCCGTGTCAACAAGCTCTACACCATGACAGTCGCAGAAGCCCAGGAGAGCCCTTTGTTCAACAATTGGAAACTGCAGCGTATCCATGATAATGATAATAATAATAATAATAATAATAATAATAATAATAATAATATACTTTATTTATATTCCATTCTATCTCCCTGAGAGGACTCAGGGTGGATTACAGGTACATATATGGCAAACATTCGATGCTGTTATACAATTGACAAAGACAGACAGTATATAAACAGAGGCAAGACTTCCTCTTTTCAGGTCTGGCATCTGGCTGCGCTTGACTTGGTCATAGGGAGGTGCTGTTTTTTCATTTTCCACGCCGAGGAGTGTCATTCATGGACGCCTTTTCTAGTAGGATTTTTGCTGGCATGTTTTTCAGGGCACCTTTTATCTCCCACCAAAGCGGCACCTATTTCTCTACTTACTTTATGTATTTAGTGTGGGGCTGGCATACCTGTCTTGGTGAGTTAACAAGGAAGTTCTTCTGATTTATTCAGATGAAAGTGCTGGCTGTTGTCATGGAAGAACAGTTCAAGTTGAAAACAATCTGAGCTTGTTGCAGTTATTGGCTAGATCTAGCTCTGCATAAGTAGAACAAGGGGAAAGCGTACAGGATACCTTTTTTAAAAAATGAGCTGTGCGTTTTATTTCTCTGTTAATTCCATTGTTCCACCAAGCTTGTCCCCTCCCTTGTTCAGTGCCATATATAGTAACGATTTCCTTAACTGTGAAACAGGAAAACTCTCATTGGAATCCATACTTGTTGTATTAGAGGAACTCAGGAAAAAAGGTGGGTTATTATTTGTCTTAATGTTGAGATACTTGGACTAAAATGTAGATGCAGTACTCATTTTAATATACCTGCTAGGAATTCATAGCTGATCTTGAAAACAAAAGCAGCCTTCTTGCAGAAGCAGACACAAGTCAGTGTATAAAACTTCTGTCTATGAATCTGTTTGAATTTTCATTTTACATAAAGGTAAAGAAAGCAATATGATTGTAGGGATAACATGGCACTCTTTTGAAATGACCACACACATTATCAAGCTTGTCCTACTTTGTGGAAGTTTTCCTAATAACAGAAATTTCTACAGATAATTTTGTAAAGATGTACAACATTTTCTAGTGTTACGTTTTGCTTATTTATTGATTGATTTGGAAAGCTGTCTCCGAGTACAGTGTGTGCTACTTCATTAATGGTTTTGGCAGAAGATACCATATTTAATTTGTTTTTCTACATAATATATCTAACAAGTAAATTAGTCGACTGGGGTGATGGGCAAGAGGATCTCTTTACATAAGAGAGACTCAGTGAGCATTATATATTTTTAAGCAGATCGTGATGTTAAAAGAAATTTATACTTTCATCCCAGGCAATCTTGAATGGCTTGACAAGAACAAATCTAGCTTTCTGATCATGTGGAGACGTCCGGAAGAATGGGGAAAACTCATCTATCAGTGGGTAAGAACAAATCAGGGCCTTGTGCATCATGTTGGGCAACATCCCATAATGAATTCTGCTTCTGGATGTGGTTAGTAAAAGTCCTAGAGATCTATGAAAGTATGTTGGTACATCTCTATCCTCTGAAATGGCAGGCTAGACATTTGTGAATTTCAGGAGACTTACCTCTCCCTTCCTCACCTCTGGTCTCTCTGTGCCCCTGTTTACAGGTGTCAAAGAATGGACTTACCAACTCAGTTTTCACGCTATATGAACTATCCAATGGGGAGGACACAGAAAATGAAGGTAGCTATATATCTAGCAGTTATATAAGGCTTGTTTATTTCCCTGTCTCTCTATGAGTTCTCCTTTACACATAGTTCTGCCCCTTTATCTCACCCTGAGTTTTTAAATCATTTTATGTACATGCGGCCCGCCCATTGTCATTATATTTGGTTTACTGTTTTGTGTGTTTATTGTTTATATGCTTATATGTTTTATACTTCAATGTTATGTTGTTTATTTTATTGCAATTTGTATCTCATTGTATTGTAATTTGTTGTTCGGGTTTGGCCTCATGTAAGCAGCTCCGAGTCCCCGTTGGGGAGATGGTGGCGGGGTATAAATGAAGATTATTATTATTATTTATTAGAAACACAACAAGATGAGTCCACAGCAGACACTGCTGGCTGTTGAATTGGATCACACATCGGACACTTCCCAAGTGTCTAGGACTGTGTGATGTATCTGCAAATGATGCGTGCAGATCCCAATAAGGTGGCCTTTTGCAGCTGGCAGATGGTAATTTTGTCAGCGCCAATTGTGTTTTTGGCACTGCACCCAGTGTGCCTATCACCACTGGGACCAACTTTACTGGTTTCTGCCAGAGTCTTTGCAGTTCGATTTTTAAATCCTCATATCGTGTCAGTTTTTCCAGTTGTTTCTCTGCAATCCTGCTGTCACCTGGGATTGCGACATCAATGATCCATACTTTGTTTTTTAACACGATTGTGAGGTTAGGAGTATTATGCTGTAAAACTTTGTCTGTCTGAATCCGGAAGTCCCAGAGGAGTTTGGCGTGTTCATTCTCTGTAACTTTTTCCGGCTTGTGATCCCACCAGTTCTTTGTCGCAGGCAGACGATATTTGTGGCACAAGTTCCAATGAATCATCTGAGCAACAGTGTTGTGCCTCTGCTTGTAGTCTGTCTGCACTATCTTCTTGCAGCAGCTGAGGATGTGATCTATTGTTTCATCTGCTTCCTTGCAGAGTCTACATTTGGGATCTGTTGTTGACTTTTCAATTCTGGCTTTGATGGCATTGGTTCTAATGGCTTGTATTGTAGTGATGTGCAAAGACAGCAATCTCATGCTAATGCAAAATCTTTGGTCTTCCTTGCCTCTTTTTAGTCACTCAAGTAAACTCCATTTCCTTATTGGACTAATTTTTTTACTTGCTATCCTGTCTTACCATTCTGATATAACCTACAAAATCAGAATACTATTTTCAGTGGCTTCCCTGGTTAAATTGCCTCCTGTGTAGCTTGCTATTCTATGAAACATCTATGTTCACTCTTGTATGTACTTACTGTTTCTTTCAACCGAGGCTCTTTCATCCTCTCCAGAGTTCCATGGTTTGGAGGAATCGATGCTGCTCCGTGCTCTGCAAGCATTACAGCAGGAACACAAAGCCGAAATCATCACCCTGGATGATGGACGAGGTGTCAAGTTCTTCTAACCAAGATGCTGCTCTGGGCAAACACATTTTCTGGGTTGAAGGGCTTCTCTGTGCTCTGGTTTTCTTGCATTGAAGGCCGAAACATCAAAATGTTGTCTTGATGGCTCAGCATCTGACTCTGTGTTTCTCCTTGCTGTTGCTGCTGTAGCTTCCATTCCTTTGAGGGCTTGTGGTGTTAAATGATGCTTTGAATAGATCTATTGGGAAACCAGAGTATTCACTGGGTTGAGTCAACATGAAGCAAATTTTGGCTTTTTGATTTTGACCTTCCAACTGCAGGAACTTGTTGCTTGCAGTACCGAGCCACAATTTTGGGATCAAAAATACAGTTCCTTCCCTCTTGTGGGCCAGGAGGCCACGCAGACTGGGCTGTCCACAGTAGGATGAGACATTAAGGACTTTGGATAAAAATTAAACAACACATTATTTCCTAGAATAGTCCTGTGTGTTGGATTTTCTCTGTCTGTTGCTTAGGGGGTGCTCCAAGTTTTCATCTTGCCTAGTGAACCTGATACTCCTTTTGCCCCCACACCAGAATAGGTGGAGTTCAGCCCTATTCTTTATATAGCAGAAAAAACCCAGTGTAATCCACATTTCACCAACTCTTGATCCTTGTGAAGAAGGGAGTCAAGTTCATTACCCAAAAGTAAACATGCCTTCTAATTCAGACTCATTTCATCTATCAAACCTTGAGTTCTACCTCAAAAAAACATATATTTTGTGATTTTTAGCCGGCAGTCTCTTGAGGATTCATGATGGATAGCAAAATCATGCCTTCCTAAATTCCAGCTCTTTATAACATTATTTTCTCTATTTGTCATATTTCTAATAATCAAAAAACCAATAACCTTGAAAATTTGTTGGCAATTTTACTTTGAGCTTAGTTGCACCTATGTACTAAAGAGCTTTCATAATAATATGCCTTCATTAGCAAAATGTGGTTGAGGAAAAAGCAGATTAGAAGCATTTAGCTCCGTATAAATTGTTTCTATGACTATTTACATCAGGGGTCCTCAAACTTTTTAAACAGAGGGCCAGGTCACAGTCCCTCAAACTGTTGGAGGGCCGGATTATAATTCGAAAAAAAAATATGAATGAATTTCTATGCACATGGCACATATCTTATTTGTAGTGTAAAAAACACTTTAATACAATACAATAATTAAAATGAAGAACAGTTTTAACAAATATAAACTTATTAGTATTTCAATGGGAAATGTGGGCCTGCTTTTGGCTGATGAAATAGGATTGTTGTTGTGTGATTTCAAGGAGTTTCAGACTTAGGTTGACCCTGAGCGAGGGCCAGGTAAATGACCTTGGGGGGCCGTATCCGGACCTCGGGCCTTAGTTTGAGGACCCCTGATTTACATAGACAGGCAAAGGACACATTTGGTAATAACTTTGAGGTGGGAGCAAAGCCTGCCTGTGTCCCAGCAAAAGGAGAAGGGATATCATGCTAATGTTTCTGCAGTCTGTTTACTTTCTCTTATCAGCCTTTTGAGTTTCATAGGAGAACGGAAACTGGCTGCACTTCAAAAGGGGTCAAAATGTCTCCCTGTCATTGATAGTTGTCAGGGGCAGGTTGGCTCTCATCCCAATGGCGTACCATTAGTGGACCCTCTATTTTAGTGGTTCTCAACTTGTGGGGCCCAGAAATACCACTCCCATAAATCACAGGTAGTTTACCAGCTGTTGGGATTTTTGGGAGTTGAAGGCCAAAACATCTGGTAACCCACAGGTTGAGAGCCAATGCTCTATTTCCATTCAGTGGCCAGCTCCCTTCTGACAGTACCCCACTTGGAGGCAAAGGGTTGTGTATATCCCAGGCAGTTGGAATAGGTCTGGCTGTGGTTTGCTCTTTGTTTTTAGTCTGTCAACATCTGGTATTGGCCGTTCAGGAAAGTTTACATAGCCTGATAAATTGGTGTGGGGTCCTCTGTATCACAGATACACCGAGTTATCTAATCTTGTGTCTTGTATTCCTACAATTTCCATAAATCAAAATGCTGAAAAATCCAAGATCATATCATTATTTTTTAAAAAAAAATCTCAGATGCTAAGAACAGCACTAGCAAGATGGGATGAGTATATCATATTTTTATATTTTTGACACTGTGTTCTGCTCAAGGATAATGTCAAGGCCTGCGTGGTTAAGGAACAGTTCCCAAAACTGAGTCAACTGATTATCACTTAGGCTGCTTTACAGTCTTATATAAAATTACTCAGAAAAGTATGAGTTGGGGAAAATAGCAAATTAAAAACAAGTGTGGACTACTGACTTGTCTAATCTTTGGATCTGTCGAAGGATTCTTCTTTGGTTTTGAAAGCCAGCTCAATAATCATTGCCAAATTTCTAAGAGGAAAGCATACATGGAGATAGTTAATCGGTGTAAGAAAATATGTTTTTCAGGTTATGTTCAGATAATAAAGGGATTATGGAGCCCCTGGTGGCGCAGTAGGTTAAAGCGCTGAGATGCTGAGCTTGTTGACCAAAAGGTCGCAGGTTTGAATCCAGGGAGTGGTGTGAGCTTCCGCTGTTAGCCCCAGCTTCTGCCAACCTAGCAGTTCGAAAATATGCAAATGTGATTAGATCAATGGGTACCGTTCCGGCGGGAAGGTAATAGCGCTCTATGCAGTCATGCCGGCCATGTGACCTTGGAGGTGTCTACAGACAACACCGGCTCCTCAGCTTAGAAATGGAGATGAGCACCATACCCCAGAGTCGGACACGACTGGACTTCATGTCAGGGGAAAATCTTTACCTTTTTCTAATAAAGGGTTTTGTTTGTGCTGTCAGATATGGTTGAAAGAGAACACAAAGGAAACTAAACACATTGTATTGTATCACCAAATTAGTTGATACAATACAATGTGTTTAGTACTGCTTTAATTTAAGACTGCCTTAGTCTTAAACTGCTTTAGACTGCTTTAGAAGAGCGGAGTTGTTCCAAGTTGATCATATATTAGGGATGCAGCCAAGTTAAACTGCTTTTGTCATTATGCATTAACTGGCATATTCTCCTATAGCAGTTTAATTGCCTGCACCTTGCTTCCCACTAGCCTTTTTGAGCCTCTGAAGATAATAAGCATTCTTGAGTTGAGTGAAACTTGACGGAATCGCATGAGGACTTTACTCCATGAAAGCAAACAGAACTGCAGATTGTTAAAAAAAAACATAGAGGGCCAGGTGCCTTGTTCATAAGAAAACAAACAGCCATTGTGAGCCTTGGCCTTTGACTGCTGAGACTGTGATTAGACTGTCTCCTTGTGTTTTGAAGGAGAGAGATGTGTGCGTGTGTCCCGCACCCTTTTCAATTATTACCTGCAAGTGAGGCTTGCCTACATCCTGTTACCTCAGACATGGAGAAGGGGTTTATTCTTCTGGTAGTCATTAACTTTATTTTCCTCAATTTCCAGCGACAAGTGAACACTGTTGATAGCAAATCAAAGCAATTAAAGCAATATCAAACAACAAAACAATACACCAAAAACACAAAAAATGGCCGGGCCAATGTAATGGGTATAGGTTAAAAGTGCTGATGTGACAGGTGGTAACAAAGACCGATTAAGACCAAACTTGACACACAGAGCCCCCATGACCCACTCTACATCCTACTTCAGTTTGGAGGAGGGTGGATCATGGATGATGGGACTTGAAGTACCTCCACTCACTTCCCGAGACCGCTGCAATCCTCATCCAATGACTGACCAAGACCAAACTTGGCACACAGAGCCCTCATGACCCACTTTACATCCTGGTGCTGTTTGGAGGATGTTGGACAATGGATGATGGGACTCGCAATACTTTCACTAACTTCCCGAGAGCACTGTGAGCCACATAAATAACTGATAAAAACCATCCTTGGAACACAATGCCTTTCTCAGAAAAACCCGGGCACCACCGGGTCCCCAAGCTAGCTTAAAAATAAAATTAACTCAGAAAACATTTCAGTAAAAGTTAAAAGTCAATTGAACAAAAATATGTTCTTCAAATGGTGGCCACTGAGAAGCCTATAATGAATGGATCCTGGGCTGTGGTGGGTTTCTTTTTGCTAATCAGTTACTGCTTGCACCAAAACTTTAAAAACATTTCCAAAAGATGGAGGAGTATTGCATATGTGAAGCTGTGGAGATGATGCTCCTCTTTCATTTTTATGACGTCAAACTTTGCCCTGAAAAATGACAGGAGACATTATATGGGGTGGGATGAAAATCAATGGATTATGTGGATTTCCTGTTTTTTTTTAAAAAAAAAAGTCAATACATGCTGATTTCTTGTGGGAACCCTAGTTTTTCAAGCCAGTGCCATTCTGTGGCCTTTAGGGGGAGGTAGTGCACTGTTTGTAGCAATATCTCCCACTAGCCATATCCACAGCCCATCCTTTCGATCAGTGTTTCTCAAACTTTGGTCTTCCACATATTTTGGACTTCAATTATCAGAATTTAACTGTTGCCTAAGCTGATTTCTGGGATTGAAGTCCAAAACGGATAGAGGCCTAACATTTGAAAACTGCTGTTTTAGAGAAATTTGGCACACTCATATATTAACCAAATCCTATGGGAAATCCTTGCTTACTGTCTCAGAGTTGGGACCAGGTTGCAGTCTTAATATTTTATCCATTCTCTGCACCTCTGTGTTATGACTGTCTTTTTGTTGTGTCAGCACTGCAGCTTTATTACTTGGTAAATAATCAGTGTGAAATTTTCATCTTTTTTCGCTGGCTTTTGGGGCTTGGTGTCTAAATCTAGGCCTGTAGCTGTGCTTAAATTTATTAACTTTACATGTCTCATAAGTCTGAAAAATTCTGAACCTCTTGTACAGATATTCTGATGAGAGCTCCTCATTTGAGAGACAATTGGAGGAGTTTTCATTTGTTACACAATAGCTATAGTTGTGTTTTTTCAACTGAAACATCTACTCAGTTTTTTCTTTGAAGGACATTGTCCAATATTTGCCAACACATCTTTCCAGTATTTCCTCTTACTATTTAGAAACTATTCACATGTGCTGTATTCAAGTACTTTAAAATAATTGAACTTTCCTTCTTCAGACTCGTCTCTCTTCCTATGACCTAAAGAGACCCTTCTGCAAACCTTTGTTAAAATTTGCTTAATAAACCAGTTACATTATCAACACCTGCGTTGATCCTGAATTTCAACCACACATGGAAGGATGACATCACACAGAAAAAGGTGCTTCCTATAGATCAGGGGTCCTCAAACTAAGGCCCGAGGGTCGGATACGGCCCACCAAGGTCATTTACCCGGCCCTCGCTCAGGGTCAACCTAAGTCTGAAACGACTTGAAAGCACACAACAACAACAACAATCCTATCTCATCAGCCAAAAACAGGCCCGCACTTCCCACTGAAATACTAATAAGTTTATATTTGTTAAAATTGTTCTTCATTTTAATTATTGTATTGTTTTTAAGTGT